TATTATTATTAGTCGTGTCCAGTTATTAAGTACGAAGTAATAACTAGTCCAACTAACTCATTACAATTCTAACTAGCAATTTAAATAAATTTCGGCCCAACTATATTATTATTAAAACAAATTAAATAAGGAGTAGGACGCAAACTTACGTACATGCCGACGTCTCCATAAACTCCATGAAATAGATAATTAACGGCAACCGGCAGTGACGGTTCTCTCCACGACGTTTTCCTCCTCCAACGTCGTCTTTGTCCTCAGAGGCCCTTTCTTCTGGAGAGGATACTATGCAGCAGCGGTTTGGTCCGACAGCAGCATCCCCGGCTTCTCCCCTTTCTCCGGCGTGAACCAGTCCGGCGGCGTTGGTCACTTCGTCATGGACTTCCCGACGTCAACGGGTAAGTAGTTCAGCGTTCATCGGCGGCGAGAGGTTTGGTGGGTGATCACTTCCGGCGATAGCGTGCATGTGGTGGCCCAGCTTCCCTTTTCCGGCCTTCATCTCCGGACGGAAATAACAAAGTCCAGGAATTCTATTTGCGTAGAAGATAGCAGCCTTGAGACGGTACTCTACCGGAGTCGTTAAAGTTGTTTCCGACGAGGTGTGGTGTTGGGCGTCAGTGACCGGCTTCTCGTTCGTTCTGCTTCCTAACATTGTTCTCTATCGTTGCTTTATTCTTGGTCGCAGGTGCATGTATATATTACGCAGGTTATTTACTCGCAGGTTATTATTGTAGATGTAAGATAAGACTATGTATCTGGTCGAGCATCGCAGCATTATTCAATTTGTTGTATTTGTATTATGGAATATACTCCGTATTATTATTAGATGCATGTATGATGAGGATTGAGGACCGATGGAAACACTTGCATGTGGAAGACAAGGACATGGATGCATGCACATGTATGATGTATGTGGCATATGACATTCACGTGGGAGTGAATGAGGTCACACATAAGTTATCTTGTCTGAATATGTGGTAATAATGTACTCCTTACATATTATTATTATTGTTAGTTTTAAAGAGTCAATTTTGTTATTTGTGTACAAATATTATTAACCGATATCTTTCCATTAAAATTGTTAAAATGTCATTTTTATTATTTATATCATATGTATAATTTTCACCTCTTACAAAAATGTCACTTTTGTTATTTAAGTCAAGGTCTTATTTAGTCAACATAATTATTATAAAAATGTCACTTTTATTATCAAACATTTTTATCTGATTAAATGTCACCGATGTTAAAATTAACTTCATTCATTTAATTATTAAAATGTCACTTTCGTAACATTTTATCTGACTAATAAAATTTATATTTTTTTTTATTATTCATTTAAACTTTCGGGTTGTCACATCTTCGGACATCAATAGAAGCCCTTAAGTTGTGACACTGGATCACCACATCAAGCCGTACATCAGTGTCCATATAGAGAGGTGATCGAGGATTACTGATTTACTGGCATCTCTACCCCTTCACCTCAAAGCAAAGCCAATCCTCTATGTCCACCACAAACGATCTTGTGTAACCCAACTTCCATCGATACCCTCAACCAACCCATTGTTTGTAATTGCGCAATGCAATTACGCCTCATGGCGACATGGCGCACCTCAGCTTATTCCTGGACTATGGCGTAAAAGGTATTGCATATGGCGCTAGGAGTGTGATGTACGCAATATTGCACTGAGGCGTATACAATATTGGATTATTGGATACGCAATAAGGCGCTCTGAGGCGTACGAAATAGGAGGTCAGAGTGTAAGGGTATTATTTAGGCCCACTCGGCCCACTTTTAAATTTTTATAATTGATCTTATGATCCCTTTTTCAAACCAGTAGTTATTGATTGAATTTTTCAGTCAATCAATCTAATTAATTTAAATTTTCATATCTTAGATTTTTGTTTTGATAAATGATTCAGAATGTTTTGGTATTCTATGGTACTTTAAAGTTTGAACATGTTACTTTGCTTGGCCTCTTATGGTTTGATTTAATATAACATTTGATGACTTTTGATGAATATGTTTATTTTTTATTATGTTTATATAATATAATATAATATAATATAATACAATACAATACAATACAATACAATACAATACAATACAATACAATACAATACAATACAATACAATACAATACAATACAATACAATACAATACAATACAATACAATACAATACAATACAATACAATACAATACAATACAATACAATACAATACAATACAATACAATACAATACAATACAATACAATACAATACAATACAATACAATACAATACAATACAATACAATACAATACAATACAATACAATACAATACAATACAATACAATACAATACAATACAATACAATACAATACAATACAATACAATACAATACAATACAATACAATACAATACAATACAATACAATACAATACAATACAATACAATACAATACAATACAATACAATACAATACAATACAATACAATACAATACAATACAATACAATACAATACAATACAATACAATACAATACAATACAATACAATACAATACAATACAATACAATACAATACAATACAATACAATACAATACAATACAATACAATACAATACAATACAATACAATACAATACAATATAATATAATATAATATAATATAATATAATATAATATAATATAATATAATATAATATAATATAATATAATATAATATAATATAATATAATATAATATAAATTAGAGGGGATTGATTCCACTACAAAGAGGGTGCCAGGTGCAAAACAAGAAATTATCTAAACCGTGCAAAACATCAAAATAACGGATGGGATGATGCAGTCCACGTTGATTAAAGTGAGGATGCACACACTACATAAATTCTTATTGGACGGGAAACGAGCGTGCCAATATATCCAAGGGTTGTTTCGTAAATCAAAGTAGCCGAATTACAGTTCATTTTGCTGCACGATGTCCATCATCCCGAGAACTTCGCGTTTCCATTTATGTAACCTTTTACTTTGAATTGTGAAACAAAGTAGTTACTCGCATATTCGTGCGAGACAGAGGGAAGAAGGACGAAGCGCAGAGAAACAATTACAAGAAGTTTCATAGATCAAGTGAAAGAAATGGCAGGCAAAGCAAGAAAAGACATCGTCATAGCACAAGGTAATCCCAGAAGTGATATCCATTTCAAGAAAATCCAATTTTTTTTTACTATAGTAATGCAAGAAAACTCCAAAAATGCAATGTTAATGTAATGAAAGTGAAAGTGATGTGCCATTGTGGGGTATATATGCCGGTATCTGAGTTTGGTAGTTAAAGATTGCAAAAGGAATAGAAATATATGCACTTGAAATTTTCAGTTCTCTCCTATTGTACTTTGACTCCACTTTTGTGCAAAACGTAAAAGTGCAGCTGAGGAATTTAACTATAACACTGTTTTTTTTTGTGGTAGGAAAAGTGAGATGTAAAATAATTAAAGTGAAAAACATGGGCTGGAAAAGTAATGAAGTTGCTTAAAACATGACTGAGTTTATTCTGAAATGCAATGGATATAAAAAGAAAATATCTGCGTGCACAACAACAAAAAGTTAATGTGTAATAGAAATTAACAGAAGTGATTTCTAGGAATGAAAAGTAGCAATTACCCATGTAAAGGAGCACAACAGATAAAATGTTCTGTAATTTTTTTGGGACAATAAATGTTGTGTACTGAGGGAGGGGATGAAGGTTTAAAGTTGAATAGGAAATATGGAATTACAGAGAGGGAAAACGCATATAGTGGTTACTTGTGAAGTAGTTATATTTGTAATTAGACTTGTGTGATGAAAATGCTTAAATGATTGATATAATACAAGAAGGTGTAATACAGAGAATAATAAAAACAAATTTATGTGCAATGGAAGGTCAAGATAGTTTGAATAAGTGAAAAAAAGTGTTACGAATAACATGCTATTGGTTTGGAAATGCAAATGAACAAGGAAATGTGCATAATGTGTAATTACTAATGTGTGATTCAAATACTTAATGAATGACTATGTCTACTGAATGCTTTAGGAAAAGATGCAGGAGAAAGTGAACTTAGGAAGAACAAAGGAGAAGAAAAAATGGCTGCAAATGGGAAGAGAAAGAAGCTTCAAAATGCACCGTTCACACGCAGCGGAGGGGAATACAAAAACTGGAAGTTCTAGCATGGTGCCAAAGCAATGGAATTACAATCAAGTTCAACTACAACAAGAGGATAGCGATGAGGGTTTTTATTGACAACACCTAACAACATGCGAAACATAGTGAGCGTGCAAAGACAAGTGCAAATGAGAAGAAGAAAAGGAAAGATAAGAACCTTAAAAGAACCACATAGAGGAAGATACAGTATAAACACATATGGAAATGTAATCACAACATACAATATAAGCAAATGTGGAAATGTTTAAAGTACAAAGTGGATAGGTGATTAAAAGTGCAACCATTAGTGCATATTTTATCAAGTATTGTGATGCACTTTTGTGATATACGTGTACATTTTCTGCGTTTTATGTTGGAAAAAGTGTTGTTAATATGTGTGTTAAAAATTGGACTTGGTGATAAGGCCGAAGTAACTTTGCATATGTAATACAATAAATTTCAATAAAATAAAATAAAAAGAAAAATTCAGTGCAATGTAAGCTAATAAGACTGTGAATAAATGGAATAAGGGCAACCATGAGTGCATATTTTATCATGTATTTTGATGCACTTTTGTGATATACATGTACACTTTCTGCATTTTATTAAAGCAACGATGTGTTGAAAAAAGTGTAATTGATATGTATGTTAAAAAATAGGACTTGGTCATCAGCAGAAGTTAGCTTTGCATATGTAATACAATAAATTTCAATAAAATGAATAAAAAACAAAAATTCAGTGCAATGTAAGCTAATAAGACTTTGAATAAGTGGAACAAGTGCTATCAAATAAATAGTAAGAGTTTAGACCGTGAAAGGGAAATAAACATACAGTGAACAATAAAACTTTAATCACACAATAGTTCAAATTTTAATTAGATTACAAATAAAACAATAAAATATCTAAGTTCCCTTGTTTATGGGACAATTTCTACTATCATGATGACTCATTTGGTTACATGTCATACACAATCTATTTGCTCATTTGTTTTCATCAATGACAACCTCCTTTGCACCTTTAATTCGGAGACCATAACCCTTATTCTTTGCCACTTGAGGAGAAAATATATATACTTCCATTGGTGCAGATGAACCATGCATAAAACCCTTGAATGACACTATCTTTTGATGATGAAATGACATATGGATCAACAACAAACAAGAAAAGTTGTTTCAAACTCTTCATGATTAACCAAATCAAACTCTTGCATAACAGACATTCACCCACCTTCAAATTAGTTGGCTCCAAAAAAATTGTCCAAGCAACAGAATTGATCTTGGACATAAACTCCTCATTATGACTCAACACATGTCCAACCTTTGATGTAACCTTCTTTATAATGTGCCACATACAATACCAGTGATGTGCGTGATCTTGATTAGTAACTATGCAATTTGGTTCACGATGCATTGCATTGAGGAATCGCGTAAAAATTCACACAAATGAATCAACATCCTCTTTCGATAGAAGACCGGCAACATAGGTGATGCATTTCTTGTGGTTGTCCACACAGGTGAAAGAGGTGAAAACCATATTGTACCTACAAAAACATATGAAGTATTACTGCCATGCAGTAAATGCTACATATTGTGCAATTAGTGCAACGAAATACAATAAAATAGCAACAACACACGAGGGATATCTGCAAATGACAACCAATCCCTACAAGAAAAGAATCATAACGAATGAATGCACAGTTGCACACACAATTGCAGGATTTAATGTATACAATATAATATAAATGTAGCAATAAATTGATTAATTCTAACAAAACGAATAAGAAAAAGTTTGGCCGTAAACAATATTAGCCATGCTCAAACAATGAAAACAGAACAAAAACATATTGTATAATCTCAATGTAGGGTTATTCAAACTAAGAATATGAGTAAGAGAAAAATTAAAGTATAACACTTTAACCTAAAACTTTAAAATGGACACTTCAAACACATAGCATAATACAGGAAACAATTTACAGACCAATTACTATTATTTCCATACGCACACAGAAACCATATCTTCCTTAAATGATACCGTCAGGTTTCATGGTTTAAGTGAAGGCTAAGAAAATTAATAAGAACATAGAATATACGATAATTGTAAACTCTAAATCACAAAGAATAAGGAATTCACAAAAGAAACACACAAAAACGCACCAGGGTCAATCGTATTATTGATATGGTAGAAGACATCAACAGATCAAAACCCTTAGACTTCAAGTGAACGTTGAGGTGCCTTTGTCAAAGCACATAATTTGAATGTTCAACCTAGCGGTTACCATTTTTGGAGTTACGGGAGAAGATGATTAGGGAGAGTAGGAACATGATGAGCGGAAGAGGAGGAACAATCGTGAATACCAAAATAACTGAAACGGTGAGATGACTAAAAAGACCCTTTCAATTAATTCCGTATAAGAGAACCGAATAACCAATAGATGAGATCAATGGTTGAGATGAATTCTCACTTTTCATATAAATGAGTCTTTTTATTTGATCCTCCCTCTAGATTAGAGATACATGAGAAAACCATCTTAGGAGATAAATGAGAATGAACAATAGCCATTAGATCTTGATTTTTTATTATTATTTCGGCTCTCTCTCGTAAGGGCACATGTGAGATTTTCAAACCAAATTAAAGCTATCTGATTGTTTCCATAACTATCACAAATCTTTCTCTTTCATAGAATTGATTCTTTCTTTCATAATTGTCTCCCTAGTACGACGTACGTCGCAAATTCGATCATCTGCATCGTTATTCATCTATTTTCATTCTGATTTCTTTAAGCTCGATCTCACAATACATTAGTATTGAATTATGATACATTTGTCTGGCCAGGATTATGCAGGGGTTAGAGGATTGTGTTGGAATTTTTGAGATATTTCAAATGAATTAAAGTTTATTCAATTTGTGAGAAATCTTTTAAGACTTAAAACAATTAAATTGTAACATTGAGTTTATCTTAATTAGCTTGGCCGGTCATATGCCTAATGATAATTTGTTTGAATTTTTTGTTATTTTATTACTAATCGTATGAAGCTTTAAATGTTGTTTTATCTTCCACTTTCAATTTTTATTTTCTAGTTGGACGGTCTATATAATCTAACAACCTTATAATTATGAATGAAGGTTGGTACCCCTGATTTGTGTCAATACACTCTGTGCTAAACAAGTTGTACATTCTTTTAAAAAATGGATCTTACATTATGAAGTGGCTTTTTTACCCCTATTTTTCTTAGGGGCGTTTATATTCCGTCAAGTAGATATTTTAAAACTTTCCAAGCGTGCCTCCTCCTTCCCTGCTGACGGAGAACTGGAGAAGGATGTCGAATAGGGTGATGGAGTATTTCCCTAACTACAAACCTATTTCACACACAAAAGAAAGTCGACACTTCATCTCGCTGGAACGGGAGCTCTTCACAAACGCAGACAGAGGCATTGAGAAGCGGGAGAACATCAATTCATATTTCTCAGGTAATATAATAATGTTTCAGACTGAAATTCATATTGCGATTACCAATACGTTTTCATTTTACAATTATTCTATTAGGAAGGGAAATATTTCACTTTCACTCACTCCATATCTCTGTATGGCAGTATGGATTTTTTATTACATGAAAGGAAAATGGAGATCTGGGTTAATTAAGACTTGTCAATTATTCAATATGGCCTAATTATTGATAGTTGATACTACCGTGATGATGTACATCAGTACATGTTATTGTTTAAGCATACATACGTGTACCCAAAAGTGTAAAACCCCATATGAGGATGATGATGAACGTTTTTACTAAAAGTTACTCCCTACGTCCCAAAAAATTGTTCCCGTATTGACTTGGAACGGAGTTTAAGAAAGTGGGGATAAAGTGGAAATGTATGGTTGTGGTTGAGTAAGAAAAAGGTAAATGAATTGTAGCTACAAAAAACTTTCCAAAAGAAGAAAATGGAACAATTTTTTGGGACGGCCCAAAAAGGAAATCGGGAACAATTTTTTGGGACGGAGGGAGTATAAGACAAGTGTTTGTAATAATGACTAAATGACATTTCTATTAATTTCTTAAACATTAACCCTCTTCTATGTGTTTTAGTAAATGAAACTCCCTTCATAAATTCTTTGCAAAACTGCACCTTTTATTCATATTTTTTATTATATACTATCATTAAGTAGTAAGATAGGTGGTTGTGATAATGATCAAATATCATTTACAGAATTTCTTGGACATTAACCCCTTTTATGTGTTTTAGTAAATGAGACTTGTAGAAAAGCTGCATAAATGTTTAGCAAAGTGGGACTTTTTATTCTTTCATAAATCAATTCAAAGAAAATATAGGGAAAAAACAATAATGAAATTAAAAAAAATCTTAACCATTTCATTATTAATATAAATTTCCAGCAAAGAGGCACATTTAGGTTGCTCATTTAGTTCACTTCTGACTGAAATGATTAATCTTTTATAACAGATTAACCATTTCACTTATAGTCACTTGTTTGTTTCATTTGCGCTATTGAAATCACCGTGTAAATCTATTGATGATGCTACAATTTACGCGTTTATTGTAGCACATTCTTTGCTGGAATATTACTAACAGATTAACCATTTCACTTATAGTTACTTACTTGTTTCAGATTAATCATCTCATTATTGTTGCTTAGTTGCTCAGTTTGAGGTAAAAAGAATTCAAGTGCCATTATGTTTTTTATTTGAGCATAGTTCTATTGTTACTAGTGTCTTATAAAAAGGTCCATTGAAGTTTGAAACAATTAATCTTCCACATGAGATTGAGCATTGACTTTTCTAGCTACTTAATTGAGTTTCAGCATACATTTATCCATTTAACTGAGGTATAAATTAGGTTAAAATTATTTTATATAGTGTTACTATAAAAGTGTCACTATAAGTTAGTTTTCTACAAAAAGTGTCACTATAAAAGTGTCACTAATTAGGTATAAATTATTTTATATAGTATTTGTTTTATTACTAATGCAAAAACTAAATTATCCATTTAAGATATATAATCAGTTGCCTAGAAATTCAACACTCTGTATCATGTTTTTTTTGTTATTATTGGTTGTCCATGAATGAAGCGTCTAGAATGTAGCCCCTTAGAACTTATAATGATTAATATTTCTAGAATGTAGGCCCTTATAACTTATTATGAAAAAAATGGATGAACTTATGAATTGTAGCACGTTTACACCTCTATTGAGCTACATTCAGGAGACCTTGTTGCTATATTTACTCATATTAAAAGTATAGTCAAAGTGACCAGAAAGAAAGGCCTCCTGTGTGCATACCTCAGGCAGTGCTGGAAGCAAGAGCAAAGAAAGCAGTGGAAGTTGCAGAGAAAGAGAAGAAGAAGCTTGAGATGGATCTTGAGAATGAGAATGGAGGTGCAGGTGTCTACTCTGCTAAATTGAGGAAGCACAATATATTGGCGGATGATTCTTGGAAAGACGATGCCATGCCAGAGATTCTCGCCGGGAACAATGTCTTTGACTTCATCGATCCTGACATCTTGCAAGGGATTAAGTTTTTACCTTTTTCTATTTTGACTGGTGCCGTTTTTTGAAAGGACACAAAAAAAACTATTGTGAAGTACATAAGGAATTTTGATCATCTAAATGGAAGGAATCGTCTTATGATTCTTCTTCATCTTGCCTCAAAGATATTTTTTATGATTTGGTTTTGCTTTGTGAAAGATATGTACCGCACAATGATTCATGAGCTAATGTTGTTCAGTTCTTTGAGTCGACTACCACCATGTAAGGAGATTGGAGAATTTCTTTCAAAAATTATTTGCATGTTTAATATTTCTGATGGAACTAATTGTCCCGATCGAGTAAATAAAGAAATTAGAGCGGACAGAGTATTTTATCGTGGAAACCAAATCGGTGAAAACCACGGGCCTTTTTGGGCGGTACCATGCCAACGGGAGCCGGGAGCTTTTATTATATTCATGGTGGGGGAGGTTACATGTACAAAGCATATGGAGCTTCTAGGGAAGCCATTAATGGAGACATGAGCTAGGAAGAAGAAATACATGTGTGTAAGAGAAGAGTAGGAAATGAAAGGAATATAGTAAGTGGGATTGTAGGCAAATGTCTCTCCCCCCTCCTCTAGCCCGTAGCTAACCCTTAAATAGCCCAATATGTTCAAGTGGGTAGCATATAGGAACTTTCCTCACCTGTACACGTATGTCACACTCAAATAATTAAAGGTGTGGTGTGGGCTTGATTGTGTTTTCCGATCATTTGTCTGAATATGTTACTATCTTCTGTATATCTGGTTCCCGATAAGACCTTATATACGGACTACGATGGGTCTAGAGGAATATTCTCCATCACAAGTCCCCCACTTTCTGGTGCTGTGAGTAGACGCTCAACAGTTCTAGAAAGTAGAATTCTGAATCTTGTATTTTCAATAATGCGCGCGCAAAGCACCATGCATGAAATGTGAGAGATCAGGTTGGAAGATTGCATGTGATGATCTAATTATCCTTTCCCTTCCTTTAATAGGTCATGGCTTAATCATTCACAGAAGGTCGTCCAAGGTATAGGGTAGGGCGAGGTGTGTGCCATTGGAATGGTTGACCTGGTCCCGTATACTCGAGCAGGGCAGACCTGAGAAGCTGAAGTGTGTGCCATTGATGAATGGTTGACTTAGTCCCGTATACTAACGAGCAGGGCAGACCTGGGAAGCCGAGATATGTGCCATAAACAATGGTTGACCCGTCCTAGTGTCCTTGTACGATGGACAGTTTGACCCTCCCATAGACCTGATTAAAACATGACTTCTCAAAGGAAGATAAAAGAAAAATTAAACATCCAATTCATACCATCCACCACTTGTTTGAGTGTCGACGTAGGTAGGTTGGTGGACCCGGAGGAGACGGATGATGAGATTGGCCCCAACCTAATTTTTAGTTATTCATTTCATATTTATTTGTTGTAGAGGTGGTTATTTTATTGTTACTGAGAACGTAACCCTCATTTGCTGTGCGGGCTCCATGACAGCATTATACTCCATAGTATGTCAAATTGATGTAGAGTATCACGTGGCCTGTTTAACTTTGTGAAACTTCTTCCAAATTGCTGTGAAGTATCACGAAGCCCCCTTTCATCTGAACCGGCCATCGTAGCTCTGTTGATGGCCAACGGATCTATAGTTATTTGGACATTGCGGCTTGTGACAGCTGAGGCGAGATGGTCCGAGCGGTTAGATTGAATCGCCGGATGGGCGGAGTGCAGGTCGGCGATATTGACGGAGTCCGGTCATCTAGCTTTTTGTGTTGATCTGCAGCAGAGGAACTATTTTGGTCTGCTTAATTTGCTGCCGCAATACAGCTTCAACCTCGTCTGGACCCGATCTCCTTCTGGAAACTCTCTGCAAGGTTCATGCATTTAGTATAGTCAAGGGTAGGTGATACTATCATACGGAGTATTACTTACTAGTGTATTA